CGTTATAATGTGACGGTCAATTTCACCATTCGTTGATAAAAGAGTAGCTCAAGAGTTGGCGGTGGGTGGTGATGACTAGCTGCCTTCCCTCTTGTCTTACACCGCTAAATTAGGGACGGCTAGTGCAGATAGCCCTCGTGTAGCTTTGCGCGAAATCCATAACAAACAAACAAACAAACAGGGTTATATGCTTCTATCTAGTTTTACTTAAGAGTTTTCTGTGTAAGTATGTTTGGTTGGTCCTCGTTTGAGTTCTGTTTTAGTATCATTGTCCGGGATTGTCGCATTTTTGTCTCGTGTGTGAAATTTCCTATGATGTTTCCTTGTCTGTTCTTAGGGGGTTTTGTGATGGGTTTTTGTTTATTTTTTGTGCGTATATGTAATGGAAGTCATCCTATGTATTATATTTGTGTGTTTTTATGTACTGTTTCTGTGTGCATGCCACATCCATGAGGGGATGGTTAATAAAGATATATATATATATATATATGTGTGTGTGTGTGTGTCTGTCTGTCTATATTTACATATATTGCACAAGTACCGTTTTAAATTATATTTGTCCGTAAACTTCACATTGTAAACGAATTTGAAGGCAAACCATTGACTTCCTTGTAAGTATTTCTGATAATTTGTTTTATAATGTTACAAAATTATTTTATCTATTTGAATATAGTTAATATCACAGCATCATCATACAAACAAATATGAATGCGTCCATCATTTCTTGGGACAGTATTCAAGAAGAAATTCATTGATTTCTTTATTAGATTTGGAATCTATTTCTAAGATAAATCTTTCAGCATATACTCAAATTTCATCGTTGCAATAAAACGATTATCAAAGAATCTAAGTTTCAAATGGACAGCAACTGCCTTTTGTAGAAACCTACAAATGTAGAGGATAACGTTTCGAAAGTCTTCTGCCTTTCGTCTTCAACCTCTCAAAGATTATCAAAGACTTTGGACTATACGAAGGCAAAAGGTTTAGAAGCAGGATGTCTCTAGGTGTAAAATGGTGTATAAAGGGCAGAAAAACGTTGTTTATCAACTATTTTCAGCTTTAGGGGTGTTATAAACGTGATAGTCAGTCCCGTTTTTCTGTTAAGAATGGCTGTGATATTCATCTCAACACTTTACTCAATTTTAGCTGCGGGGTGAGTTATAAACGTTAGTCTGACTCGCTATTCGGTTAAAAGTAGCCTGATATGCCACTAAACTCTCTGTACATACTTTCAGGGGGAAGAGATGTTATAAACGAGACAGCCAGTCTTACTCTTTAGTTAAAAGTAACCGTGTAGTCATAGGGTACTATTTACTCCTAGTCTATGTATGCGTAAAAAGGGGGAAAAACGAGTATGTTGTAGGTTCAACAACTGGAAGACAACAAGGCATCAATTAGAGAAAAATATATCTTTTAAAACAAATCAAAAACATTATAATGAAACTAAAAATCAAAATTAACATTTCCATTATCAGTCCCTGTTGTCATCATTAAAACTCATAACAAATAATGTTTGTGGCCATAGCACCCAAACGCCTTGGGAATTTTCCATCTATCGGACAAGATCCAGACGCCGATGTCAAACTAGCCAATAACTACGTTTAAAAGTTGAGTGCTTGAACCCACAACATCTCAACTCCTACAGCCTTTTGTTGTAGGAGGTTAGTTGTGAGAAGGAAGTTATACTTAATATTTAGATATAACCTTAAACTATAAATAAACCCCCTAAAATTCTACAATATAAAACTCCCAACATCCACCCGTTTTTTGATATTATGAGATTGACAAAAATGTAAAAATATTCTTGTAGAAGAAATAGACCACCCTATATTTCTACAAAACGTTAAATAAGAAATGAAATATATTTTCATCGTTTTGCCAGATAACTTGTAAGAACTCGCCAAACAAAAGGACAACGTTATAATAATATATTAAAAGCTAAAAACAGCTCAAATAAATAAATGTTAACAAAATACGCGTTCAGTTGGTCAGTATTTTGTTTTAGTAAGCCAAAAATACCGACTTAATATGTATCATGTGTTTCATTAGAGCCATTTCAACAGCTCTGAATTGGAATTACTAGTCAAAATCAATATTATAGATCTGTAAGGAACATTCTAAATTGAATAGTGTTCCAGATGTGTTTTGAACAGTTCTTATTTTAAAGTC